CCTACTAGAAATCAGGTGAGTTTCAGATGATTAGAAATATTAAATTTGGATGAAATAAATTTTTAATGTATTTTTACACAAATTTCGATTGTCTGATAGCGCTCGGGTGGTGGTGCTACTACTTAAAAATTGAAATAAAATTCTATATTCTTCAGGATTGAGTAGGGCTCGGTCCCTACTAGAAATCAGGTGATTTTCAGATGATTAGAAATATTAAATTTGGTATAAATAAATTTCCAATATATTTTTACACAAATTTCGATTGTCTGATAGCGTTCGGGTGGTGGTGCTACTACTTAAAAAATTGAAATAAAATTCTATATTTCTAGGATTGAGTAGGGCTCGGTCCCTACTAGAAATCAGGTGATTTTAGATGATTAGAAATATTAAATTTTAATTTGGATGGATGAAAAATTTTTAATTTATTTTTACACAAATTTTCGATTGTCTGATAGCGTTCGGGTGGTGGTGCTACTACTTAAAAATTGAAATAAAATTTTCTATTCTTCCCTGATTGTGTAGGCTCGGTCCCTACTAGAATCAGGTGATTTTCAGATGATTAGAAATATTAAATTGGGTATAAAAAATTTTTATGTTTTTTTACACAAATTTCGATTGTCTGATAGCGTTCGGGTGGTGGTGCTACTACTTAAAAATTTAAATAAAATTCTATATTCTTCAGAATTTAGTACGGCTCGGTCCCTACTAGAAATCAGGTGATTTTCAGATGATTAGAAATATTAAATTTCGAGGAAATAAATTTTTATTGTATTTTTACACAAATTTCGATTGTCTGATAGCGTTCGGGTGGTGGTGCTACTACTTAAAAATTGAAATAAAATTCTATATTCTTCAGGATTGAGTAGGGCTCGGTCCCTACTAGAAATCAGGTGATTTTCAGATGATTAGAAATATTAAATTTGGATGAAATAAATTTTTTAATTTATTTTTACACAAATTTCGATTGTCTGATCGCGTTCGGGTGGTGGTGCTACTACTTAAAAATTGAAATAAAATTCTATATTCTTCAGAATTGAGTAGGGCTCGGTACCTACTAGAAATCAGGTGATTTTCAGATGATTAGAAATATTAAATTGGGTATAAAAAATTTTTTATGTTTTATTACACAAATTTCGATTGTCTGATAGCGTTCGGGTGGTGGTGCTACTACTTAAAATTGAAATAAAATTTTCTATTCTTCAGGATTGAGTAGGGCTCGGTCCCTACTAGAAATTAGGTGATTTCCAGATGATTAGAAATATTAAATTTGGTATAAATAAATTTTTATTGTATTTTTACACAAATTTCGATTGTCTGATAGCGTTCGGGTGGTGGTGCTACTACTTAAAAATTGAAATAAAATTTTCTATTCTTCAGGATTGAGTAGGGCTCGGTCCCTACTAGAAATCAGGTGATTTTCAGATGATTAGAAATATTAAATTTGGATGAAATAAATTTTTAATTTATTTTTACACAAATTTCGATTGTCTGATAGCGTTCGGGTGGTGGTGCTACTACTTAAAAATTGAAATAAAATTCTATATTCTTCAGAATTGAGTAGGGCTCGGTACCTACTAGAAATCAGGTGATTTTCAGATGATTAGAAATATTAAATTGGGTATAAAAAAATTTTTTATGTTTTATTACACAAATTTCGATTGTCTGATAGCGTTCGGGTGGTGGTGCTACTACTTAAAAATTGAAATAAAATTTTCTATTCTTCAGGATTGAGTAGGGCTCGGTCCCTACTAGAAATTAGGTGATTTCCAGATGATTAGAAATATTAAATTTGGTATAAATAAATTTTTATTGTATTTTTACACAAATTTCGATTGTCTGATAGCGTTCGGGTGGTGGTGCTACTACTTAAAAATTGAAATAAAATTTTCTATTCTTCAGGATTGAGTAGGGCTCGGTCCCTACTAGAAATCAGGTGATTTTAAGATGATTAGAAATATTAAATTTGGATGAAATAAATTTGTAATTTATTTTTACACAAATTTCGATTGTCTGATAGCGTTCGGGTGGTGGTGCTACTACTTAAAAATTGAAATAAAATTTTCTATTCTTCAGGATTGAGTAGGGCTCGGTCCCTACTAGAAATCAGGTGATTTTCAGATGATTAGAAATATTAAATTTGGATGAAATAAATTTTTAATGTATTTTTACACAAATTTCGATTGTCTGATAGCGTTCGGGTGGTGGTGCTACTACTTAAAAATTGAAATAAAATTCTATATTCTTCAGGATTGAGTAGGGCTCGGTCCCTACTAGAAATCAGGTGATTTTCAGATGATTAGAAATATTAAATTGGGTATAAAAAAATTTTTTATGTTTTTTTACACAAATTTCGATTGTCTGATAGCGTTCGGGTGGTGGTGCTACTACTTAAAAATTGAAATAAAATTTTCTATTCTTCAGGATTGAGTAGGGCTCGGTCCCTACTAGAAATCAGGTGATTTTCAGATGATTAGAAATATTAAATTTGGTATAAATAAATTTCTAATATATTTTTACACAAATTTCGATTGTCTGATAGCGTTCGGGTGGTGGTGCTACTACTTAAAAATTGAAATAAAATTCTATATTCTTCAGGATTGAGTAGGGCTCGGTCCCTACTAGAAATCAGGTGATTTTCAGATGATTAGAAATATTAAATTTGGATGAAATAAATTTTTATTGTATTTTTACACAAATTTCGATTGTCTGATAGCGTTCGGGTGGTGGTGCTACTACTTAAAAATTGAAATAAAATTCTATATTCTTCAGAATTGAGGAGGGCTCGGTCCCTACTAGAAATCAGGTGATTTTCAGATGATTAGAAATATTAAATTTGGATGAAATAAATTTTTATTGTATTTTTACACAAATTTCGATTGTCTGATAGCGTTCGGGTGGTGGTGCTACTACTTAAAAATTGAAATAAAATTCTATATTCTTCGAGATTCAGTAGGGCTCGGTCCCTACTAGAAATCAGGTGATTTTCAGATGATTAGAAATATTAAATTTGGATGAAATAAATTTTTAATGTATTTTTACACAAATTTCGATTGTCTGATAGCGTTCGGGTGGTGGTGCTACTACTTAAAAATTGAAATAAAATTCTATATTCTTCAGGATTGAGTAGGGCTCGGTCCCTACTAGAAATCAGGTGATTTTCAGATGATTAGAAATATTAAATTGGGTATAAAAAAATTTTTTATGTTTTTTTACACAAATTTCGATTGTCTGATAGCGTTCGGGTGGTGGTGCTACTACTTAAAAATTGAAATAAAATTTTCTATTCTTCAGGATTGAGTAGGGCTCGGTCCCTACTAGAAATCAGGTGATTTTCAGATGATTAGAAATATTAAATTTGGTATAAATAAATTTTTATTGTATTTTTACACAAATTTCGATTGTCTGATAGCGTTCGGGTGGTGGTGCTACTACTTAAAAATTGAAATAAAATTCTATATTCTTCAGGATTGAGTAGGGCTCGGTCCCTACTAGAAATCAGGTGATTTTCAGATGATTAGAAATATTAAATTTGGAAGATATAAATTTTTAATGTATTTTTACACAAATTTCGATTGTCTGATAGCGTTCGGGTGGTGGTGCTACTACTTAAAAATTGAAATAAAATTTTCTATTCTTCAGGATTGAGTAGGGCTCGTTTCCTACTAGAACTTAGATTTTTTTTTAGATGATTAGAAATATTAAATTTGGTATAAATAAATTTCTAATATATTTTTACACAAATTTCGATTGTCTGATAGCGTTCGGGTGGTGGTGCTACTACTTAAAAATTGAAATAAAATTCTATATTCTTCAGGATTGAATAGGGCTCGGTCCCTACTAGAAATCAGGTGATTTTCAGATGATTAGAAATTTTAAATTTGGAAGAAATAAATTTCTAATATATTTTTACACAAATTTCGATTGTCTGATAGCGTTCGGGTGGTGGTGCTACTACTTAAATTGTTCATTTCATGATCATTAAGCTTCCTCAATATAATATATACCAATTGATTAATTTTTTATTTTAGAATAATTATTTTAAAGTGTTAAGATAAAATGTCAAAAAATACAAAATTTCAATTTTTTGTGAAAATTTAAAATATTTATTAATTCTATAAATTTTGATAAAATATATACTTTATATACATGAATCAATTCGTTTTTATGTCAGGAATGCAATTTTGACAAGAATTAATAAAAATTTTAATATAGAAAAAAGTTACTTCAAAAAATCCAAAAATTATTTTTTCAAATATTAAAAAATTGTAGAAAAAAAATTTTTTTTTAGATATTTTTGAAAATCCTTTTGTCTGATTTTTGGTATTCGTGACCGTAATACACCTAAAAAATTTTATCAAAATCCGTCAAGACGTGTAAGAGAAAATTTGTCCACAAGAATCGGTGACATACACACACACACACACACATACATACACACATACATCCGGACATTTGTTCCTCTCGACGAATTATATATACTACACTTGAAAATTTGTAAAAATAATTGATTCTAAAAAATTCGGAAATCGACATCACTATAAGGCTTCCTTTATGAGGAAGCAAAAATCCAACAATTCTGACACTTCATTAAATTCAATTATTTTCCAAATTTTTAATAAATATTCTTCAAAAACTTAATTTTTTAAATAAAATTTTATTCGACTTTTATTCTTTGATAATTGAAATATTTTTTGAAACTTTTGTCTTTTCAAATATTACTACTACCGTCAGAAATTTTAATTGACAGCTTCTCAAAATTCAATAATTTTCATGCCAATATTTAATTATTATCAGAATCCCGAAAAAAAATTTACTTTGTTTAAATACATTTTTTCCATGCTAAGTGCTTCTAATTTTTAAAAAAAAAATAATAAAACTTGTAACAGTTTCATAAAATGAATTCAATTGTTTATACAGTGTCATATCAGTAATAAATTTGCATCGCTAGTATTTGGACGTATATATTTTATTCTACAATCGATGTAATTTATTTTATTTTTGTAGCGCTTTTCTTCATAAAAATTAAAAATATAGTTAAATAGTTGTCAGTACAATTTGAAAATTTTAAAGTTTGTGGAGGAATAAGCGTGAAAAAGAATTCACAGTTAGCTCAATCTAAATATGCTGCAAATTCTTACAAATGTACTTTCAAAATTATCTACATCACCTGTCCTTTGTGCTGTTTCGTACGTATCGACATTGGCACTGTTATTCAGAGTATCACCGGACAATGCATATAATCAGAACGATCAGGTATATATTTATTATTAGAGATTTTAAATATTGAATTATTTATTATTATTTTATACAATATAATTACATAATACTGCACTACCAACAAATAAATACTATATTCAATTGTAAAATTTCAAACAATTCTAAATTTATTTCTAAAGTTCCCAACACTTCCAAATTCGCTTCTAAAGTTTCAAATAATTCTAAATTTATCTCTAAAGTTCCTATAACAATTTCAAATTCATTTCTAAAGTATCAAACAATTATAAATTTATTTCTGAAGTTCCTAACAATTCCAAATTCATTTCTAAAGTTTCAAACAATTCTAAATTTATTTCTAAAGTTTCAAAAAATTCAAAATTCATTTCTAAAAATTGAAAAAATTTATTCACCAGCAAATAAAGCATAATGAGACGAATGAGTACGATTTCATAATAGTTGGAGCAGGATCTGCTGGCTGTGTGATTGCAAATCGTCTAACAGAAAACAGCAAATGGACGGTAATTATTAAATTGTAAATCTTATTTGAAGAAAAATTTGTCAGCATTACTTATCAAAATTTTTCTAAGGATATCGAATTAAGACAGAAAACACACCAAAAAATTGCATCGCAACAATTTTGATAAGTTCCTTGTCTCAATTTTAAATATCCTTAGAAAAACTGTGATAGAAAATTTGCAGTTTCAAAAAATACAGTTTTTTCCGCGAAATTTTTACAGGTACTGTTATTAGAGGCCGGAAAAGAGGAACCCTTAATTACGGATGTGCCCAGTTTTCCATTGATTACAGAGAGGACATTTTACGATTGGAATCATCACACTCAACCAGATAACACTACATGTTTATCACAAAACGGATGTTCTTTCGAGCACGGAAAAGTATATGGATTCAAAAATGGCTTTAATTATGCATTCAATAAATTAATAAAAATATTTGTTTGTCCAGGTAATGGGAGGATCTGGTGCTTTAAATTTTATGCTTTACGTTCGGGGTAATCAGGAAGATTACAATAATTGGGAAAGAATGGGAAATATTGGATGGAGCTACAAAGATGTGTTACCCTATTTTAAAAAATCCGAAGACAATAGAGATCATGATGTAAGTAGTAGTAGTATTATCTACTTTTGTTTACTATTATCTACCTGCTGCTGTTATTTACCGCTAATAATAATAATGCACTGAGAAAAGAATTTGGTTTTAACAAACCGTTTGGTTGGTACTTAAGGAACTAAAAACATTTTGCTATTTGCCAATAAAATTATTGTTGCTTAAATACCAACCAAACAAATCGTTTCTGTTGGTATTTAAGCAACTAAAAATTTTTGTTGAGACAATAAAATTTTTATTGATTGAATACCAACTACTAACTAAAAACATCAACGTTCTGTTGTCAAAATCAAACTATTTTCTCTACCCTTTTCCCCTTTTAATAATTTAATTTTCAGATTCTTAGATCAAGTCCAGAATACCATGCAACTGGAGGTTATCTACCAGTCGAACGAATGCGACATGTGGACAATGCTACAAAAATGTTATCCAGTGCACTTCAAGAGCTAGGTTGTAATTCAACGGATGTAAATGGAAAAAATCAGCTGGGTTCCATGATCTTACAAACGACAACCAGAAATGGAATTCGTATGAGCAGTAATAGAGCATTCATCAGACCAATTCGAAAAATGAGAAAGAATTTGTTCATCAAAACACAAGCGTACGTGACGAAAATTTTGATTGACTCCAAAACGAAAAGAGCATTTGGCGTAAAATACATGTCCCCAACCACAAATACTTCAAAACGTGTCTTTGCTAGAAAGGAAGTAATCATTTCAGCCGGTACCATTGAATCACCAAAATTACTAATGCTCTCCGGAATAGGTCCCAAGGACGAACTCGAAAAGTATGGAATCAATGTTGTTGAGAATTTATCCGTAGGACATAATCTACAGGAACATGTCTCATGCACAAATATTATTGCTACATTAGATGAAAATCTGGCCTATAATCCTGATTGTCGAACAAAACTAAACGATCTAGTGGAGTATTCTCAAAATCAGAGTGGTCCACTTTCGTCAGTGGGTGTTTCCTCAGTGACAGCATTCTTTCGACTTCAAAATGAAGAAGAAGCAAATATTCAGTCAGCAAATATTCAGCCACGAAATATTCAGTCGCCAAACATTCAAGTATCAAACAATCAGTCACCAAATATTCCCGATGTACAAGTAGTTTTTATGCCACTAAGTATTATTACAGCCTACTACAACGAATTCACAATAATGCCTTACATCCTACAACCACAGAGTAGAGGATTCGTAAGATTAAATCACACCAATCCAATTTGGGGCCCACCCGAGATAATTCCTAGATATTTTTCACAAGATACGGACATTAAGAGAACAATTAGCAGCTATCGTATGATTATTCGTCTCTTTAATACAACTGCTTTTAGAAATAATAACATTCGAATGAAAAAAATTACCGATCCACCTTGCAATCGTTTTAAATTTAATACCGATGACTATTGGAATTGTTCTCTGAGATACTACACAACTACGAAATATCATCCAGTGGGAACGTGTAAAATGGGTCCAAAGGAGGACAAAGATGCTGTGGTTGATTCAAGATTGCGAGTTTATGGAATTAATGGTCTGAGAGTTATTGATGCGTCAATTATGCCGTTAATTACACGAGGAAATACTAATGCACCAACAATTATGATCGCTGAGAAAGGAAGTGATATGATTAAAGAAGATTGGAATGGTATTTAATAAATCCAAATTTCCTGTTTTGTGCCAAGACTTTAAGCAAATGTCGAAGCAATTTTGGAAAGCTTTCGAAGATTTTCGAGAGCTGCAATGAAAAAATTGTTGCATCTATTTTGAGTTCTCATTAACAAAGTAGTGTAAGCTAAAATAATTTAAATACTGTCTCAAAATATGTAAAACCGAATGTAAAATTATTTTTCGAATTATTAGTTTTTCGTCTATTACAAATAATTGAATGTACATTATTTTTAATTCCATTTCCATTATTATCATTAGAAGGAGCAATACGACAATTCTTTATTATTTAGAAACAGTTTATTCTTCCTCAATGTCTTTGTTCTATAGAAAAAAAATATTGCTTGGTCTAAAATAATTGAGAATTGTAAGAACAAATTTTGGATTTTTTTGAAAATTAAAAATTTGTGTCCAGTAGTACAGTACAAAAATGTATAGCAGTTTATTTTCACAAACATCTTTTCACTGCTTTATAATTTATATAACATCTATATCGTTTTTAATGAATACATCAAAAGATAATGACGACACCAGTAAAAACGTGCGCATATTTATCAAATATTTTCCCATCGATACTTTTGTTCTATTTGTTTTAATAATTCATTAATTACAGTTGTTTTATTATCCGAAAAATATTTTTCAGCAAATAAAAAGTGAACCTGACGAATATGATTTCATAATAGTTGGAGCTGGATCCGCTGGCTGTGTTGTTGCCAATCGACTGACAGAGCATAAAGAATGGACCGTAACTCTCATTATTTCATCATAATTATAAACCAGTATTTTTAATTAAGAAGAACTTTGGAAAACTGTTAAAATTTTTTTACCATATTAATCATATAAAAACTTTTCTAAATCATATAAAAACATTGTTCTAAACAAAAAGAAATCGATTCTAGAAAATAGTTTTAATATAATTTTTCTTTTTGGATAAAATATTTTGCTGCAAAACTTTATTGACATCTTGTTGGCTAAATTTATCTAATTTGGTAATTTGTTATCTAGTCACTTTTACTGGAAGCAGGAACAGAAGAGCCCCTTGCTGCAGAAGTACCAGGCTTACACTGTATGCTTCAAAAAACAAAATTTGATTGGAATTATCATCCAAAATTTGATCAGTACTCTTCTTTTTGTGGAGAAACTTGTGTTTTTTGGCCTAGGGGAAAAGTAATTTTACAAAAACGAAATTTATTTTTGTTCAATAAAAATCCTTTTTTTTCTATTTTAATTTCTAATTAGAAATGGATACTACAGAAACAAATTTTGCCTTATTTTGTTCTCATTTTATTTTATTAAACCAAATACTCCTAAACAGGTAATGGGAGGCTCGAGCGCTTTAAATTTAATGATGTATGTAAGAGGTAGTCGAGAGGATTTTAATAGTTGGGACAAAATAGGAAATCCAGGTTGGAGCTATAATGATGTATTGCCCTACTTCAAGAAATCAGAAAATAATGCAGATGAGGAAATACGTAAAGAATTTTAATATTCCTCTACTGTGTACAAAATAGAAATAAAAATAAATCTGCCGTCCTTAGTAAAAATCTAGTGAATTGCATTTGTCCCCTTAGGTCGATAGTCTCTTAGCGACTATAGCCCTTTCGACAAATGCAACATGCTCGATTTTCACTCTGGACATCAAAAATGCAAAAAAAATCTATCATTTTATTCAGATTTTAAGAAATAATCCCGAATATCATGCAACTGGAGGATACTTAAACGTGGAAAGATATCCGTATTTAGACCCAAATGTCAAAATTCTTACAAAAGCATTCGAACAATTGGGCTACGAACAAACCGATGTCAACGGAAAAACACAAATAGGAACCATGATCACGCAAACAACATCAAAAAATGGATCTCGCATGAGTACGAACGTAGCATTCATCCGACCAATAAGAAATGTGAGAAAAAATCTATTCATCAAAACACAAGTTTACGTGACAAAAATTATAATCGATTTCGAAACGAAAAGAGCATTTGGCGTAGAATACACATCGACAACTACTGGTGAATCAAGAACAGTATACGCTAGAAAAGAAGTTATCGTTTCTGCAGGTGCAATCGAATCTCCTAAATTACTTCTCCTGTCCGGCATTGGACCACCGGAGGAACTTAAAACACATCATATCCCTCTCATTAAAAATCTATCTGTTGGTCTCAATTTACAAGATCATGTAACAAATTATTTCATTCAAATCATTCCTGGTAATAAATCCACCTCCAATACCAACTGTCAGGAAAAAATACAAGATCTAAATATTTACACCAATCAAAAACATGGTCCACTTTCCACAACAGGAATATCAGCAGTAACCGTACTTTTACAAACCAAATATGAACAAAATCCAGAGATTCCAGACATTTAACTTATATTTATTGGTGATAATCCACTATCGATATATTACGAGAAAATTGGGGTCATAGTTTGCCTACTGTCACCAGATAGTCGTGGATTTATTCAATTGAATAGCACCGATCCAATTTGGGGAGCACCGGAAATATATCCAAAATACTTTTCCGCCGGTACGGACATGAGACGAATGATTGATGGCTTTCGTAAAGTAATACAAGTATTTAATACGACAATTTTTAAGGATTATAATTTTAGACTTAATGATGTTCCATTGGTGATCTGCAATAAATATGAATTTAACAGTGATATGTTTTGGGAATGTGTAATAAAGGAATTCTCCTATACGGAATATCATCCAGTGGGAACGTGTAAAATGGGTCCAAAGAAGGACAAAGATGCTGTGGTTGATTCAAGATTGCGAGTTTATGGAATTAATGGTCTGAGAGTTATTGATGCTTCAATTATGCAGTTAATTGCACGAGGAAATACTAATGCACCAACGATTATGATTGCTGAGAAGGGAAGTGATATGATTAAAGAAGATTGGGTTCAATAAATAGGAATTATTGGTATCAGGATTTTTACTGTAATTTGTAGCTTAATTGTTACCAAATTAATACCTCAATTGATACCAAAAGTGATACCAAGATTGTTACCAAAATTCATTCCTAAATTGATGTTAAAAGTGATATCAAGATTTTATCAGGATTTTTCTTAGAAGTAAAAGTTATTTTGTATTTGTAACATTAAATGAAAAACTTTCTAAATTTAAAGACTCTAAGAAATAATAAAAAAGTGCCAACTGTGATCCCTGAAATTAACAAAATTTCAAATTTAATGTATTATTTAACAACTTTTGTTAAATAAAAAATATTGTTTCATTAAATAAATTCAATTTATTAAACTATAAAAAGAGGAACATTTTAATGCCCGTATATTGAATAAATATTAAATAAACGAAAATTATTTCGTAAAAGCAAAAATCGTTACAAGTTAACAAGAATCCTCCTATTTAAATTCCAGAAAAAAAATCCTAATCGTCAAAATAGAACAGCAATATGTACAAAAAGTATCCAACGATAATATACATAAATATTGAAAATTAAAAGTCACCATCTATTTTTTTTCAAATAAAATATGAATATTCCGAGATATGCTAAATGTGTATTAAATGAATATGCAATTAACAACAGTTGCATATTTTGCATTCTCATCGAAATGAAAAAAAATGATCACCTTCGTCATCAAGTGAAAATGCATTTAAAACATTTAAACTATTTAAGTTTCTAAATTTAGAGAGAATAAAAATAGTGTTATTATTATACCACGTGTTTTCAATTTCATACTTTGTACTTGAAAATTACAATTTAAATAATGTTGTTGATTATCATAACTTAAATTGTAAAGAAAAAAAACACTTTCTTTCAAAATTTATAAAGCATTACAATAAGATTTTATTATTTTTTCTCGCTTATAATGTCGATGGCGATTCAAAATCTTTTTGAAACACCTTTAACATGTTCCGTTTTTTACGTAGCATTAGTTTCTCTTTTACTTGGATTTTCCAAAGATCAACAATTTAACGAGGTGAATAAATTTTTTTTTAGTAAAGTACTTTATTTTTATAAAATTAAAGCTTACAATTATTTAGTTAGCTAAGAAAAAAGGTATCTAAGAAGCAAATAACTTTAAGGTTACGTTCGTGTTATTTTTACCTTAATTCATACTTTCTGTTTAATTGTCCAAAACTAAAATCAGTTTCTATTAATTATTGAGAGTCGTTCCACTTTACATATTTTCATTACAAACATAAGCTCAAATGTTTTGCTTCCTAGTTACCTTTACCTTGGCACAAAAATGTTGGAACTAATATTAGAACTAATATTAAATTTTTTTTTCAAGAATAGCAAATCCGATCAGGAGGAATATGATTTTATTATAGTGGGTGGTGGTTCTGCTGGTTGTGTATTGGCGAATCGTTTATCAGAAAGACGCGAATGGAACGTAAGAAATTCTTCGTTTTTTCTTTTTTTTTGTCCACAAGCAAACACGAAATAAAAAAAGAAAGAAAGGGAAAATAAATTTTGATTCTTTACGGATTAGATACTTTTATTGGAGGCAGGAAGAGAAGAACCTGTATTAGCAGAAATTCCAGGATTTGCATTCACTATGCGTCAAACAGACATTGATTGGAATTATCGAACACAACCGACGAAGTTTGCATGTATCCGAAACAAAGGATGTGTTTGGCCTCGTGGACGAGTATTTCTTGTTTTTATTTTAATGAATTTTAAGAATAAAAATTTTTTTCCTAAAAAAACTAAATTATGATCTAATTCCTACAGGTGATGGGCGGTTCTAGTACACTTAATTACATGATATACGTTAGAGGAAATCGTGACGACTATGATTCTTGGGCTAGAATGGGAAACTTAGGTTGGAGTTACAATGAAGTTTTACCCTATTTTAAAAGATCGGAGGACAACAGAGATCCCGACGTAAGAAATATTTAATTATCCATATGGTCTTAAGATTTAAATTCAATTATTAAGATATTAAAATTATTGAAACATTGTAACAAAATTTATTTTAATTTATATTTTGCTTGGAATATTTGATTGCTTTAAATTTTTTTATTCGAAAACAAAAAAAAATTACAGATTGTGGCGCAGAACTCCAATTATCACAGTACCGGAGGTTATCAGCAAGTTCAACGCTTCAATTACAAGGATCAGCCAACAAAAATTTTATTCAAAGCATTCTTAGAACTTGGATTTAATGAGACAGACATCAATGGAGAACATCAAATAGGCGTCGCGCATTTGCAAGCAACATCAATCAATGGTTCTCGTGTCAGTACAAATCGAGCGTTCATCCGACCAATTAGAGAAAGTAGACTAAACTTATTTGTTAAAAGTGAATCGTACGTAACAAGAGTTTTAATAGATCCAGGCTCAAAAAGAGCTACAGGTGTTGAATACACACACATACCAACCGGAAAGAGTGTCACTGTTTATGCACGAAAAGAAGTCATTGTATCCTCGGGCACTGTGAATTCACCAAAATTACTAATGCTCTCTGGTGTTGGTCCCAGGGATGAACTTGAAAAGCACAATATTCCTGTCATTAGAGATCTACCAGTGGGCAATAATTTACACGATCATGTCTCATTTCAAGGACTTTTTGTCCAAATTAATCCCGATATGGTTAATAATCCAAAGTGTGAAAAGAGAATAAATGATCTGACTCATTATCTAACAACTAATGATGGACCACTATCATCGACAAGCATAACATCAGTTTCCGCATTTGTTCGCACCAAATACGAAAAAAGACGTGAATTACCGGACATACAATTTCAATTCGGTAATTTTGGTGTGTCACCTTATTTCGAAGTGTTCGCCATTCTTCCTGTTCTTTTACAACCAAAAAGTAAGGGTTTTGTGAGATTAAATTTTACCGATTTAATATGGGGCGATCCGATAATTCAGCCCAACTACTTCGCGGAGGATATTGATGTTAAACGAATGGTTGAAGGAATACGAATTGGTCTCGAGTTATTTCGAACGACGGCTTTTACGCAAAATCAGTTTCAATTGGTGATGAAGGCAATGCCACCTTGCGATAAAATTGAGTACAATACTGATGAATATTGGATTTGTATTATTCGACAATATACGGATACATTCTATCATCCAGTGGGTACGTGCAAAATGGGACCATCTGATGATCCAGGCGCTGTTGTTGATGCTAATTTAAGGGTCTATGGAATTCAAGGCCTAAGGGTTATTGACGCATCGATTATGCCAATTGTTCCAAGAGGTAATACAAATGCACCGACAATTATGGTTGCCGAGAAGGCGAGTGATATGATAAAAAAGGATTGGATACAAACTGGATGGTGGAGTTCGATTCAAAATTAAATTATTTCTTACAAAAATTAGAACGAGAATGTGAAAATAATAAAAAATTTCAAGACTGTAGGAAGTGTTTAATTATTTTTGCCCACTTGTTACATATTACACCAAAAGACAATTTTTTTCCAACCACATATAATTGCAGTTAAATAAAAGAATATTTGTTTCAGAGTCTACACAAAAAAATCTTTTCGGGTACAAATTTCTCTATATTAACAACATTTTTAATTGTTTCAATTTTGACTTTCGTTATTTTAGAGAAACTTATCACTGTTCTAGACAAAGTTCTTTTCTCATGTACTAAATTATTCACTTGTTTTAAACAAAAATTTTATTTGAAACAAATAAAGTTTATTTAAAACAAGCACTATGTTTAGTAGCCTCTGAATTAATATATTTTTTCTGGGTGTATATAAGCAAAAAGTTTAAAAAAATTTCTTTTGGTTTCTTAACTTTTAATACTTTTTCTAAGAATAAATAAAGTTTTCCAACTTGCTTCTGAAATTAAAAATTCTGAACGTTCAAAAAAAAAAATTTTAGTTTAAAATTTTCTTAAAATGTTAATTTCTACTTTTAATTTTCAAGTTAAATAAATAAAAATATTTGCTTGTATTTCTTTGTTTGAATATTTATTTTAAAAGTTATAATTATATGTTTGAAAAAATATGGCATTTAAAAAACTTGTTTAAAGATGGATTGAGTGATAAAAGTATACACTAACACTGTGGACACTAAAACCAGGAAATTTACACTGTCTAAAATAAAAGTCGAGTAATAAATAATGACACTTGTTAATTATGTTTTAAATTGTGCGATGAACGATGAATAGTTAATATAAATTATATTATTAGTTCAATTTAGTCCTACGATATTTGGTGGTAATTTATAATAATTTGAGAACGGCAAATTTAAATAATTAGTGAGAAAAAATGTTTTTTCAATACTTTTTATCATGTGGCTGGTCGTGTGCTTGTATTTATGGATCAATAACTTCGTTCCTTCTGTGGGAACCCGCTGAAGAAAATTTTTATCCGGTAATAATAAATTATTAATTAGAAATTAAATTACTTATTTTGGAAAATAATTTATAAAAAATAATTTTTCAATTATTTTATAAATCAATTTTTTTTGTCAACTATTTTGAAAAATAATTGACAAAAATAACATAAAATAATTTTTAAAATAGCAATAAATTATTCATCAGATAAAATTAACTAGAAAATTATTAAAAAGTTTAAAAATTAAATAATTAATTTACAACAGTAGATAAAATAATTTTATATCATTTAAGATCCCTCAACAAGAACCTGAAGAATACGATTTTATTATTATTGGCGCAGGAACAGCGGGATGTACTTTGGCGAATCGTCTTTCAGAAATAGAAAATTGGAAAGTAAAAAGAAAATTTCTCAAAACATTCTAATCAAATTATTAACAATACTGTAATTACTTTTTTTCAAATTCAGTAGGTGGTCACTTTTTCAAAAATCTTTTCAGTTGAAAAATTAAAAGAAAAATTTCAATTCTAAAAAATACATTTCTTTTTTTGCCATTAAAAATAATATGAATTTCCATTTATTTAAAAAGAATTGTAATTTTTTGTTTATTACTAATTTATGTATACTTTAAAAATTAAGCTTGGTTTTGACAAAAATAGAAATGAGAGAAACGATTTATTCAGTTTTCAAATTAAACTTTCAATTAGGTACAAATTTAATTTCATAGAAGAATACAAATGTGAATTGACTTTTATTGGAAAATAAAAATTTGCAAATGACGAGAAACGATTTTTACAGTTTTAAATTGAACTTTATTGGATTTATAAAACTGCTAGTAGAAATTAAATGAAAATTCAAGTTTTACATATTGAATTTTAATTGAAAAGGAACAATTTTAGCAATGTATATTTTATTAGAAAAGATAAATTGAGTAATATAACTTCAGTGGGCAAAATATTTTTGTAAAATTAAAGTTTATTTTAGGAAATTTTTTTTCAAAATTATACTTGATTAGATAATTAAAAAATGACATTAATAAAAACAAGTCATTACAGTAGAATGTATTATTAAAATTTTAAACTGATAAAGTAAAATTATTTTTCTTTGAAATTATAATAGATACTTTTACTGGAAGCTGGTGATGATGAACCACAAGCCAGCAATATTCCCGCTTTTAGTCCATTACTTCAGGAATCGTATTTAAATTGGAATTACAAAACACAACCGCAAAAAAGTGCTTGTTTACAAAATAATGGATGTAATTGGCCGCGAGGTAAAGTGAGTGATATTTTCCAATAATTATTGACATATTTCCACTTATAAAAAAAATAATAAAATTAATTTTGATTACTTATGAAAAATAAATAAAGTTGATTCATTAACATAAAAACGGACTTACAAACAAAAAAAAGACAAGAGTAAATAATTAAAAAGTAAATAAAAAGAGAAAAGACTGTTCTAGTAAAAAAGGAAAACGATAATAGAACGATTTTTTCAAATGAAAGTTGATACATTAAGCTTTTCCGATAAACTTTTAATTAATGCGAAAATGATCAAGTAAAACAACAAAAAGTGAAAAGTAAGCCATTACGTATGCCCTAATTGAAAAGTTTAACAAAAAAAACTTAGGTCATGGGAGGTTCAAGTTCAATTAATTACATGATGTACGTGAGAGGAAATCAAGAAGATTATAATTCTTGGGAAAGATTGGGAAATGCTGGATGGAGTTTCAAAAAAATATTGAAATATTTTACAAAATCAGAAGACAATAGAGATCAAGAGGTAATGTACTGCGAGAGAAAAAATTTGTGGTTATTTGTATTTATTTATATTTGTATTTGTGGTCACAAGTTTTTTCAAAATAATTTTTAGTTAGTAAAATATGCTGCTGATAATTTTATTTTTGGGTTAATAATTTTTAACAGTAAACCTATTTTATTAATTTATTTATTGTGCTTCTTTATCATAAAATCCATTTGACGTAAAATTCGTATAACCTAAATGTCATTTGAAAAAAAATTAATGTGATATATATTTCATTTTGAGATTAAATTCATTAAACTTATCATTCATTTAAAATCAATTTTTATTTGACATGAAAATTATTTGACATAAAGTTTATATGACGTAAAATTAATTTGACATAAATTTAATTCACCATAAAAATTCATTTGATATTAATCTTATTTGACTTAAAAATCATTTTATATAAAATTCATTCAACATAAAATTTATTTGTCATAAATTTAATTCGATATAAAATTCATTTGATTTAAAAATCATTTAGCATAAAATTCATTTGTCAGTTTATTTGACATAAAAATTACGGTGCAAATTTTAAAAGATACCAATAAAATATCAAATAATTGTGATTGGACATTTTTAAAATTCGCGTCTATATTTTTATGTCAATTGATCTCTACATGAAATGAGTTTTATGGCAAATGATTTTTAAGTCAAATGAAATTTGTGACAAGTTATTTTTATGTCTAATTGAAACTATGTCAAATGATTTTTTATGTAAATGAAACATTTTAATATTCATGTGCAAAGCAAGACTATTTGGGACACTTACTTTCAGGGTTAATTTCGTCAAATAATCTTATATGCATCAAAGCGAGCATCAAAGTTTTCTTTAGACGACTGTCAAACAGAATTTTCGCTTTTTTTCTAAAAAAAGTTTAAAAAATTTGCTCAAAATTATTTGGCTTTGCTGCAAATAAAATTACTTAAAATTTCTGCTAGAAAAACAATCGTAGCCAAAGTGTATCGAAAAATTAACTGTTTCGTTTGTAAGAGGAACCGACTCTATTCTTGTAGTGTTACCAAAAAGCTGTTGTATGCTTGATATTTTCTTTTAGTGTGACATTCTTTAAGGGCAAATTCGTATATTTATATTTGCTAAAACGTGTACGTGGCCTACAATACTCACAATTATCAGTCATTTGATGCTTAAAGATAATAAAAATTGTGTTTCTTAAAAATTAAGTTTCTTTTATTTTCTCTAATGTTTGAAAATTTGCCAATTTTTTATGAAAAGTTTTCGATAAAACAAAAAGGATAAGAGGAAATATTGTTATTTTTGAAAAAGACAACCACTTTCTTTTACCATATCAAACAGCGATCTACATTTGTAATAATTAAAGTTGACATTTGTCTTCTATTTCTTAAGTAGATTGTATCTTTTTAAAGGTAAAATTGTAACAGAATAGGAATATTTTTATGTTCATAAATATAAGAATTGTGTTATCACCATAGCAACTTTTGTTTGTTTTTGAAATTTTACACGTAGGCAAATTAAAAAAATATTCTACCACGTATGATCTGGATTTATATACGTGATATTTATTTATTATATTTTATTATGTAATTCTATCTAAATAAATGCGCGAGTTGGTTCTCATTTCTTCACATTATGATTGATAATAACATTTTCAATGTTTGCTTATTTCAATTACAGCAAATAAATAATAATTGTAACCAATAAAAATTAGCAGCTATTATTTTACTAACTAAACAGAAGTCACAAAAATAATTTCTCTCCTCGCATACAAAAGCAAAAATTAATTATAAAAAACTTTTTAGATTATGGAACAAAATCCTCAATATCACAAAAGCGGTGGTTACCAGAAAGTACAAAAATTTCCATATTTAGATTCAAATGCAAAGATAATTCTCAAAGCACTCGAGGAACTTGGATATAAACAAACAGACATAAATGGTGAAACTCAATTAGGTTCTATGATTATTCAAACAACATCAGTTAATGGAAGCAGAGAAAGTGCAAATAAAGCATTTATTCAGTCCATTAAACACAAACGAAGTAATTTATTCATAAAAAAGAAGGTACTTGTGAATAAAATTTTAATTGATTTTACGACAAATAAAACTACTGGTGTCGAGTACTTTTCGATTGTCACTGGGGAGAGTAAAACAGCTAAAGTCAAAAAAGAAGTTATACTTTCAGCCGGTTCTGTAAATGGACCAAAATTACTAATGCTTTCCGGTATAGGACTCAGTGAAGAACTCAAAAAACATGAAATTCCAGTGGTTAAAAATTTATCCGTTGGTCTTAATCTTCAGGATCATGTTAGTTTTTTCGGCATTACTGTCAGGATGAACGAAACAAATTCCACTTGTGATGGGAAATTAGAAGATTTTTATCACTACTTGGAGGGGCATAATGGTCCATTGTCAAGTACAGGCGTAACAAGTGTTACAACATTCATGCAAACGAACTGCACATTAATTAATGATACTGCTCCGGATGTTCAACTCATGTTCAGCGGAACGGGAGAATTATTTTCCTATTATGACAAATTTAATATAATGACAGTATTATTAACACCAGTTAGTAGAGGATTTATTCGTCTCAATAGCGATGAACCAGTGTGGGGAGAGCCGTTAATTTATCCCTCTTACTTTGAAGCGAAACAAGATATCGACAGAATGCTTCAGGCAGTTCGAATGACATTGAACTTATTTAATACGACAGTTTTTAGGAAGAATCAATTTCTACTTGTTAAGGATACAAAATTACCTTGTAGTAAATTTTTATTCAATTCTGATAAATATTGGCTGTGTCAAATGAAACAGTACACATCAACTGTATTTCATCCTGTTGGAACATGTAAAATGGGTCCAGCAGACGATTCAGAGGCTGTTGTTGATACGAGATTAAGGGTTCACGGAGTCAAAGGATTGAGAGTTATTGATGCGTCGATTATGCCAATAATTCCTAGGGGGAATATAAATGCGGCTACGATGATGATTGCCGAAAAGGGTAGCGATATGATTAAAGAAGATTGGAAGGAAAAAGTTACATAAAACCTTTATGTCAAAAAAAAACTAAAAGAATCTGTTTAAAAATAGAAACAGTATGAAAAAAGAAGTTAATTTACCATATTTTTATGATCTCTAATTTTTTTTTAGAGAAAAAGTATAGATAAGTAAATAAGGTCCAAACTAAAATCAAAGTTGATTAATGTTGGTTTATTTTAAATTGAAATTCTAATTTTTGTTTTTATTGCACCGGTGAATGATTTATTTCGACTTCTGTTTTTCTTTAATTTCCAGTGTTTTATTACCTTAATTATCAAAGATAAGCTTCTTCAGAAATATTTCATTCCCGAGACATTAAAAGGGGATAAAATAAAAAGATAAAAGGCTAAAAATTGCATTTAAGAAACGAAAACAATTTTTGATAAGACATTATCATCAATAAAAAAGTAAAATTTCGCCCCAACGCAACTCATTTTGTATATTTGCAATCGATGTTTAAATTTCTCATATATCTACCGTTTCTCGAATAATATTTTTGATTTACAAAAAAGGTATTTTGTTGTATGATAATTTTAAATATTCTGATACTTAATAAAATTGTTTTACTTAAAAATTAAATTTTTTATTAATTTTAGTACTTGTTTATGAAAGTTTTGTTGTTGTTTTGCTTCTAAATGGTTAATAATAAATATTGAAATTAAAATAAATATTTTCAAATTTATAATTTATCAATCACAGATCGAAAAATGTTGTTACCACTTTTTGCGGAAACATGTACAGCGAATTTTTGCACTTGTCTCTCCACCATGATTTATTCCTTTCTATTCGGCTACTCACCGGATAATAAATTTAGTTTGGTTTGTACTTTATAGAACTAATTTTACTTTTCTTAATATTTTTCGAATGAAAATTATAAAAAAAATTGCTATTCACGACGAGCTTTTTCAAAAATTAAAATTACTTTTTTAAGCAAACAAATCCTGAACCAGAGGCATACGATTTCATTGTTGTTGGCGCTGGTGCTGCCGGGTGTGTAGTTGCAAATCGGCTCTCGGAAATTAACGATTGGAAAGTAATTATTGCAAAAGAAAACAAAATTTATTATTGAAAATAATTAATATAATTATTTATTGTACTAATAGTCATAAGTAATTTTCACTAAATTCAAATTCTGAGACAGACTGTTCTAATTGTTATAATAATTTTTCCTACTGTTTCGAAAATTTAATTTAAGGAAACAATAAAAGTTTGTAAATTTCAACAATAGATACTTTTATTGGAAGCTGGAAAAGAGGAGCCGTTACGAGCAACTATACCGGCTTATGCTGGTAGTTTAGGAGATACAGAATTTGATTGGAAATATAAAACGCAACCAGAGAAAAGTGCAATTGGAAGAAATAAACAAGTAAAGTGGCCTCGAGGGAAAGTACGTAAAGAATTTTTCAGTTTTGTTATAAACTTTAATTTCTAAGTTTTCGCTTAATGTTAAAAGTATTATTCAATTATTATTAAAATAATTTTGGAAAATAAGCTATTAAATTTATAAAATTAAATTAATTTATAAACTTGATCCGGAGTGATCGTTAACTTCAATTTATAATTATTTGACGACTCAGTGATAGAATCATCATTGTTAAATGATTTTATATATATTTAATTAAACTAAATATATAAATTTATTTACTTTCTTAAATAAAATTGAAAATTTTTGAAGATAATGGGTGGCTCAAGCGCAGTAAATGCCATGTACTATGTTCGTGGCAGCAAAGAAGATTTTAACAATTGGGAAAGAATGGGAAATCCCGGCTGGAGTTACGAACAAGTTTTACCATATTTCATAAAGTCAGAAAATAATTTGGACAATAAAGTAAGTTATAATAAAAATACAAACTTTCTGCTTTAAAAATACGATTCTACGAAAAAAGTTTTTGAGAAATAAAATGGTAGTTTAATTTCTCCACTTGAGAACGCCAAGGTCATCACTAGGTGACGTGGAATCTGGTTTTGTCAACTGAACTGACATCTACCGGTGACCTTGGCGTTCGCAGGTGGAGAAATCATCTTCATATTAAATCTACAGATGTTCGTCAAATCAATAATTATTTATAATTAAATTTAGAAACTTTGTCAATTAATATAAACGGATTTCAATTTTTAATTTACTTCAATATTATCAATAATCCCGTGAATCAAAGGCCTGTAATTTTATTACAAAATTAAAATTTTCAGGTTGTCGAGGCAAATCCTGATTACCACGGAACAGGTGGATACCTATCAGTCGAGTCATTTCCATATCTAACAGAACCAGGAAAAATAGCACTCAATGCATTCCAAGAAAGAGGCTACAAACTACTAGATGTAAATGCCGCCGATCAATTGGGAGTAGCAGTAACGCAAATGACAGCCGGAAATAATTCTCGATCCAGTACAAATATCGCCTTCATCCGACCAATTAGAGCCGAGAGAAAGAATTTATTCGTCAAAAGTCAGGCACTAGCAACAAAAATTATAATCGATCAAAAAACAAACAGAGCCACAGGTATTGAATACACATCCCTAAAAACTGGCAAAACACACAAAGTTTCCGCAAAGAAGGAAATTATCATATCCGGTGGTGTCGTCAATTCACCACAATTACTCATGGTCTCTGGAATTGGACCAAGTGACGAGCTTCGAAAGCATAAAATCAAAGTAATAAAGGATCTTCCAGTTGGTAAAAATCTCCACGATCATGTCTCGGCTCCAGGACTATCGGCTAAACGACAAATCAAACCAAAAGTTCCACTCACCTGTGAAAATCGCTTAGGACACCTATTCACTTATCTAGCAACACGAAAAGGTCCCCTCAGTGCTATTAGTACAGTAATGTTGACCGGTTTCGCCAAGACAAAATACGTCGAGAATGATTATCCGGATATTCAATACACTTTTGATAAATTAGATGATGATGAAATTGCCTTTAAACCCATTTTAGTGACACCAAAAAGTAGGGGATATCTTGCTCTGAATGTAACAGATCCTGTTCGGGGTGCACCTTTACTGTATCCTGGTTATTTCACTGAAGAAGATGACCTTGATCAATTAATAGCTGGCATTGGACTCACTATTGATATTCTCAATTCGACAGTAATGAGGCAAAATAAATTTATATTCAACGACAAACCACTGCCTTCTTGTCAAAGGTTTAAATTTAATACCTACAAATATTGGGTGTGCTTTTTACAAAGCAAATTTAACACCGATTTTCATCCCGTGGGAACATGTAAAATGGGACCAGAAAAAGATCCCACTGCTGTTGTTGATTCGAGATTAAAAGTACATGGAATTGTAGGTTTGAGAGTAATTGATGCTTCGATAATGCCCACTGTTACTCGGGGAAATACTAATGCACCTAGTATTATGATTGGCGAAAAAGGAAGCGACTTGGTCAAAGATGATTACTCTTTGGAATAAATCAGATCTTATTTTATTAATCCGAATATTAATTGTAGTAATTTTTTACTAGATTTTATAGAATAAGATTAAGTAGCTGTAGTCCACATCGAAAAAATTATACGATAATTTATTTATTTTATTTTTTATTACTTAAATTATAGTAAAAATTTGTTTATTAATTAGTGATGTATAGATATATGTAGAAACAAACTGCAAGCGTGTTATTAAATTTTTAAAAATAACTTTTAAATTATTTGTAACTTACTTTAAAGAAAGGTACCCAAGAAGCAAATTATTTTTTTGTTACTTTTATCTTAAAAAATGTTACTCAATTGTGTAAAACTAAAATCAGTTTCCATTAATTATTTAAGATGTAATGAAGATTAAAACATCGGTGGCTTATATATTGAGAGTTAAAACACTCTGCATTGTAATTTGTTTAAAAATTGCAAAAGTAACCTTAAATATTTTTCTTCTTACGTACCTTCCTTTGGATTATATCACATTTATTTAATTTTTAATAGAAAAAAAGAAAACTCTTCTTGAAAAAAATCTTTCCAATCATTAATAAAAATTAAATTCCCATGAAAATAATTTTGTAATTACGCAAAAAAAAATCCATAGTAATTCAAAGGGAAATTTTATGAAACTTTCGACTAATTTTTCTACATGGAGAAATTAAAAAAATTTATTTCACGAAATTGAAAATATTTACGAAAAATTGTTTATTTTGAATTTGAGTTCAAAAAGTTTGCTCGCCGATAAAAATAATCCACTCTGAATAATACTAAGCAATAAATTAAGCTACGAATGTTTAAGCTATGAAATTATGAGTTCAAACATAAACACAACAAAGTTTTGAAATTATAAAAAAAAATTAAAAAAGGAGACCTGTTTTATATTGTATCATTTTTTTCCTCAATAATAAAACAATTTAAAAAAAGTAAACGAATGCAATCCATGAATAGATAATATAAATAAGATGAATTTTTTTATGAACGCATAATTCCTATACATAAGGAAATACTCCTTCAATAATTTGTTAGTCATACGTATTGATGATGTTGTCAATCACATCAAATTTCTGTATTAGTCTTTATTCTCTTATTGTTTCTTTCTTGTGGAATTATTCGGTTGATCAAAAATTTAATTTGGTAATTAGTCATTTATTTCCCATTAAGCAATTAATTAAAACTATTTTTTATCTTATGCTTCTATTTAGTAAAATTAAACCAAATTAATTAGTAAACTATAAAATCAATTTATTGTTAAATTAAAAATTTAATCTTGTAATTCAATAATTAACTTTAATTGTGTAATTAACTAAAACTATTTTTTAGCTCACGATTTAATTACTAATTTAATAATCAAAATTTTATAATCAGAAATCATTTTAAATTGTTATTATTATCAATATTATTGGTATTATTTTAATTATTATTGCTATATGAGTATTACTATTAATTAATTAAATTAATTAACAGTATTTAATCATTTCAATATGAAATTAATTTCTTGATTAAAAATTAAAAAAATTATAATAAAAATTTTTTTTTCTTTTCAATCAAGCAAGTAACTCCAGAACCCGAAGTTTACGACTTTATAATTATTGGTGCTGGTTCAGCAGGTTGTGTCGTAGCAAATCGACTCACAGAGATAAAAAAGTGGAAAGTAAATACAGTTCTAAATATAATATTAATCAATAAAGAAAAATGGGAAATTTTGTACTCAATATTTCAAATTTCGTTTTTTTTTTCTTTTTAAAAAAAGGTTCTTTTGTTGGAAGCAGGAGATGAAGAGCCTGAGATAACAAGTATCCCTGGATTCATGCCTGAGCTTCCAGAATCAAATTTAACCTGGAAATTCGAAGCCCAAAGTGAAAAAGAAGATGATTTTGTAAGGGAAAAAATTGAATGGCCTTGTGGAAAAGTACGTTATTGCAAAAATAAATTTTTTAATTTGCCAATAATCTTTAAATATTTTCCTAATTATTATCTCCTTTTAATTTGTGAATTTTTCTTTGCAAAAATTCAATTATTTTTTAATACAACTTTAATAATATTTCATGAAAGAATTCAATTATTAAAAAAATTCTTAATAACATTTTTCGAAAGAATCCAATTATTAATTATTATTCAATTATTAAGAAAGACGATTATTGTAAAAACTTGAAAGAAATTGTTCATATAAAATTTAATTACTTTGAAAACATTTAATTCAAAGTATTAAAGAAACTCAAAAAAATTCTTCAAAAGAATTTAATTAAGATTATAAAAAATTTCAATGAAATTCTTTCCAAATTCAATTATTTTCATAAATAATATAAAATTTTTACAGAGATTCAATTATTTTCGTAAATAATAAAATTCTTTTTATGAATTCAATTATTTTCAAAAATAATAAAATTTTCGCAGGAATTTAATTATTTGCAAACACAATTCTCCAAAAAAAAAATTTCGAAAAAAATCAATTATTTAAAATGATTTTTATAAAATTCTTCGCTAGAATTCAATTATTTTAAAAAAAAATTAATAAAATTCTTCGTAATAATTCAATTATTTTTGAAAATTTTAATAAAATTCGTTGCAAGAATTCGATTATTTTTGAAAATTTTTCTCAATTAAATGATTTTTAATATCTATTTTAATAAAATTTTCTAAAAGAATTCAATTATTTAAAAAAATTTTATAAAAATTATGTGCAAACATTTAATTATATTTATAAAATAATTAAAATTTCACAAAAAATTCAATTATTTACTTATTTTTTATAAATTTCTTCCCTATAATTTCAATTATTTTAAATTCAATTTCAATTTTAATAAAATTTCTCAAAAATGTAATTATTCTTAAAAATTTAATTATAATTTGTCAAAAGAATTGAGTTATTTACAAATTTGTTGATGAAATTCTTTATGAGAATTCAATTTAATGAAACATTAAATTATTCAATAAGTTATTAATTTTTGTATTTAAATAATTGAATTCTAGTTAAATTTTCCAATAAAAATTGATTGAACAATGAATTTCAGTTAAAATTTTATAGTTAATAATTGAATATTAAAAGCATAATAACATAAATTTTTATAAATAATTGAATTCTGAAAATTTTTAAAATTTTTATAAGTTGTTTTTTTCTAATATATATTTAATTGAAGAATTTTCGAATAATTGAAATTTTGTAAAATTGAATTTTAAACAAATGAATTTTAAAATTGTCAAAGAACTTTTTCAAAAATTATTAAAAATAATTGTTTAAAGAAGAATTTTAATTAAAAATTCTAGAAAATAATAATTGAATTGAAATGTTGAAAATAATTTTGACGAAGTTGCAGTAACAAAATTCTTATAATATAAAATAATGATTTTATCAATATTACTTTGATTTTTATTTTATAGTATAAAAACTACACTACGCGCTTAATTAAATTTATTGTTATTCATATTTACGTCATAAATAATAAATCATTTTAATTTGTAATTCATCCCAAAGGTAATGGGTGGTACAAGCGCCATTAACGCAATGGTGTACATTCGAGGTAATCAAAATGATTACAATAAATGGGCACAATTGGGAAACAAAGGATGGAGTTACGATGAAGTATTACCCTATTTCATAAAATCAGAAAATAATCGCGATCCAAATGTAAGTTACGTAATTATGCGTAAAAAGGAAATCAATATTAAAAGAATATTTAATTAATAATTCAAATTTTAATATCTAATATTAAATAATAATTAAATTAAAATATTTAATTAATATAAAATTTTAATATTTAATATTTAATATTTAATATTAATAATAAATATTTTTATCCCTTTAAAAATACGATAATTTATTTCAGATAGTAGAAAATAATCGAAAGTATCACGGCACTAATGGATATTTATCAGTAGAGACTTTTCCCTCAATAACCAACGAGGGTCGAATTGTACAAGGAGCCTTCGAAGAGATAGGATATAATCTCACGGACGTCAATGCTGAGAATCAAATAGGAATAATGCTCCCTCAGTCAACCACAAAAAATAATATTCGTCAAAGTACAAATCGAGCCTACATTCGACCAATAAGAGAAATAAGAAAAAATTTATTCATCAAAACACAATCGTACGTGACAAAAATTATAATCAATTCAAAAACAAAGAGAGCCCACGGATTGGAATATATTTCACTTAAAACAGGCGAATTAAAAAGAATTACGACTAGAAATGAAATAATTGTATCCGGAGGCACAATTAACTCGCCAAAGATATTAATGGTCTCCGGAATTGGTCCCAGTAACGAGCTTCAGAAACATAAAATCAATGTCATAAAGGATTTACCAGTAGGACGTAATCTCCAGGATCATGTTTCATTTCCTGGTATTTCAGCTCAAATAAAAAAGAATACAACAGAAACAATTTTTTCCTGCAATGATAATTTACTCAACTTATTCAATTATTTTCTCACTAAAAACAGTTCGTTTTCTATATTAACAAAAACGATGCTTTTCGCATTTGTTAACACAAAATCCATAGATGAATATATCCCTGATATACAATTTACATTTAGAAATTTTACCGATAGACAAGTTATAATAAAACCAATTTTACTGTCACCAAAAAGTCGAGGATATATTACACTCAATGATAGTGATCCATTTTTTGGCACACCTTTAATTTATCATGGTTATTATTCCAATAGATCGGATATCAATACAATGATTGCTGGTATTCGGTTAGCTATCAAGATACTCAATGCCAATATAATGATGAGAAATAATTACAAAATCGATAGAGTACCCTTAGCTCCTTGCAATAAATTTCGTTACAATCACGATGAATATTGGAATTGCACTTTAAGACATCATACTCAAACTGAATATCATCCTGTGGGAACGTGTAAAATGGGGCCAAGAGATGATCATAATGCTGTTGTTGATTCGAGATTAAGGGTTTATGGTATAAAAGGATTGAGAGTGATTGATGCATCGATTATGCCAACTATTCCAAAAGGGAATACCAATGCGCCAACTATTATGATTGCCGAAAAGGCCAGTGATATGATCAAGGAAGAGTACAAGCTATAAAGAATAATTTTCCTCTCTCTCTCAAAAAAAAAGTAGAAGGGAAATAAAAAAAAACCCAACTCACAATGTGTAACGAACATTATACTGCGGAATTGAATCATAAATATATCACTTTTTTTTTAATGTCCTAATAAACCATGTATATAAAATTCAACAAATAAAAAAACAGTCAATGATAAAGGGAAATTAATGTTAAAAATAAAACTGCGAATAAGAATATTATCTTCATGCACATTGTCAGTTTAGATTTGTTTATATTCGTTGGTGTACATTCGAATTAAGCCGCTTATTTATTCAATTTGTAAGTGACGTTCATTTTTAAAAATAAAATTCTTTTCATGATTATATATTCACTTATTTTTCCGATACCTTGTTTATGTGAACATTTGCTAAAATACATTTTTTTAAATAAGCTGATGAAAATAGATTAAATTTCGTTTTTTGAAACTGAATCCCGGTTTTGAAAAATAAAATCTCTTTTTTTATCTAATTTACATGAAAACGAGGATTTTATTTTTTAAAACCGGGATTCAGTTTCAAAAAAAAAAATTTTCAAATTAATTAAAAATATTTTATTGTAGCAGACAAAATTAATTTTAAATATTTTTTTAACCTTTCTTCCTAAATGCAGTTTTTTTTAAATCAAATTATTTTTTTGTTAAACTTTTTCTGTTAATTATTGATATTTTTTTTTATCCTTTTCCGCAGTTTGTAATTTTCGATAAATTTTCAATCAAAATTTTTATTACAACGCTACTTTCGTTTTAAAATTCCATGATTTTTATTATATACGAAGTAAATTTCAGAAAAAAATTAGTAAAAATTAACTTGGGACTTGAAAAAATTTCCTTCAAAAATATCGAAATTTAATATTAAAAATTGGTGTTTCCAAAATAAGTTCTACTATTTTTAAGGACAAGTTCATTTATAAAAATTAAAAAAATTTACTTCAAAAATAGTAAAATTTATTCGAAAAATAAGAGTTTTTAATAGCTAAATGTAATGTTCGAGAAAAATTTGAATAACTTTTATGAAGAAAAAATGAACAATGAAAATAGTCAAAATGTCAATTAAAAATCGTTATTTCCAGAGTAAATTTTATAATATAGTAAATTTTAGTAAAAATTATAGTAAAATCAACTTTGAATTTAATAAAATTTATTCTGGAAATAATTATACAATTTGTTAAAAAATTCCAAACAATTTGAATTTTTCTTAGAAGTAAAAGTCATATTTTATTTGTTATACTTTTTAAGAAATAAATCTTTTTCGCATTTTGTAATTTTCTATAAATTTTCAATCAAAATTTTTATTAAAACGCTACTTTTGTTTTAAAATTTCATGAATTTTACAATATACAAAGTAAATTTCAGAAAAAAATTAGTAAAAATTAACCTTGGACTTTGAAAACTTTACTTCAAAAATAGTAAAATTTAATATTCAAAATTATTATTTCCAGAATAACTTTTACTATTTTCAAAGACAATTTTTTAAAAATAAAAATTAGCAAAATTTACTTAACAAAACTAGTAAAATTTACTCTAAAAATAAGAATTTAATTGTAAAGTTGGAGAAAAATTTGAATAATTTTTACAAAGAAATTAATTTTGAAAATAGTAAATTTTGCTATTAAAAATCGCTACTTACAAAGTAAATTTTATAATATCCGTAGCAAATTTTTTTGAAAATTAGTACAATCTACTTTGAATTTAGTAAAATACATACTGGAAATAATGCAATTTGTTAAAAAATTACAAACAATTTGGATTATTCTTAGAAATAAAATTTATTATCTGTTACCTTTTACGAAAAATTTTTAAAGTTTAAAGACTGAGAAATAATATAAAAAGATTTTTAAGTTTAGTTTTAGGGGATTTAATTAGTTTAAGGGGAAAAAGGGGGACAAACTGTGATCCCTGTAAAAATATTAATGTTAATATTAATAATAATAAAAAAATAATTATTACTATTTATTTCCTAAAGTTCTAAACTTTCAATGAACAAAATTAATTTTTTTCCTTTTCAAATTTTAATTTTTTACAGTAATATTGTTTTAGTAACTTCACGTATTAAAAAAAAATTTCTAAAGTTTTTAAATGTTTTATTTACGTTTTTGCTTTTTACTTATGTTTCTTAATTATTTATATAATATTTATAGCATTGAATAAAAATTTCCATCATTTAACTTTCAATTATTTTAAGAAGCGTCAGTTAATTGAGAATCAGATTAAAAAATATCAATAACAGATTAATAAATTATTTAAGTTATAATAATAATAATAATAATAATAATAATAATAATAATAATAATAATAATAATAAAACTTTTTTATAATTATAATAAAAATAATAAATAATGACAATAATAATAAATATTATTTATGTCTATATTTTTTTTAATATTATTTTCAGACGCATTGAGAATGCTCTCAGTTTTATCAGAAATATGCACATATCTTTACGCTATGATACTTCTTTTTCTATGGAATTTCTCCGTGGATGATAAGTATAATAAGGTAAGTATTCATTTTATTGTATAAAAACTTGTCAATTCATTTCTATTTTCTTATTTATACTAATTATAAATAGAAAATAAATATCAGATTTACTTATTCGTGGAAAAAATTTTTGTATGACAAAAATGTATGAACAATAATGTATAAAAAGGAAAAAAATTATTTGATTTAAATTCAAATAAATTTATTCATTATTCATTCAAATAAATTTTCTTTCAGTTTATTTAGCAAAAAGTAGTTTTTGATTCGCGATACTATTTATACAGGAATGCTAAATGTGGTTTAGATTCTGTCTAAATTCCAATATGAATAATCTGAATGATGATGAAAGAATTTATATAACAATTGTAAATAAAGTATTCACATTTCTCCCTCCTAAAAATTTTTGAAAACTTTTCTCTTACAGTCTCAGAGGTGAAATTTAATTTTGCATTTTCAGTAAATTGAAAAAAAAATATATCTCAACATTAAAATTTTCACTTTAGTGCAAAAGTTATGACGAAAAGATATAAAATTTCTGACATAGTTATTTTAGTTATTTTTTTTTTGTTATTTTAGTCGTAATTTATAAACGTTTATTGTACGTAATAAAATTAATTTAATTAAGTATGTTTTATTTTTCTTCCAAGCAAATAAAAATAGAACCCGAACAATATGATTTCATCATTATTGGTGGAGGAAGTGCAGGATGCGTTCTGGCAAATAGACTCACGGAAATTGAAGATTGGAAAGTAAATAATAAAAATAACTTATTTGTCAAATAAAATCAAATAAATAATTCCAATAAATTGTGAATTCAAAATAAACCTAATTTTTTTCTTTAAAACTGCGCAGGTTTTATTATTGGAAGCAGGAAAAGAAGAACCAATGATAACCGATATTCCCGGATATGTTTATGAATTAGTAAATTCACCTCAAATCAATTGGAAATATAAGACACAATCAGAAAAGAACAATGAGTCAGAACAAATTAAAAGCATCTCAATTGCACGTGGTAAAGTAATGGGTGGATCAAGTGCAATAAATATGATGGTTTATATTCGAGGTAATCGAGAAGATTATAATTCCTGGGAAAGAATGGGAAATCCTCAATGGAATTATAATGCAGTATTGCCATATTTTTTGAAATCAGAAAATAATCTTGATAAAGAGGTATATTTATGTTTTTGAGAGACAATTTTTGAATGTAAATTTTATTTACCTTTTAAAAAAATATCTTTTCAAAAAGAATATCTTTTTTTTTAGGTAGTAAAAGAAAATCCAGATTATCACCGCACGGGAGGATATCTGTCAGTTGAGTCATATCCTTTTACACCAGAAATAAGAGACTCTTTGCAAAAAGCTTTTCAAGAAATAGGATACAGTGCGAAGGATGCAAATGCCGCTCGACAATTGGGTTTATCATTTGGTCAGCAGACAACAAATAATCGCATTCGTCAAAGTGCAAATACTGCTTTTCTTCGACCAATAAGAGCTTCAAGAAATAATTTATTTATCAAAAGTGAATCGTACATAACGAAAATTATCATCGATGAAAAAACAAAGAAAGCCAAAGGTGTAAAATACACTGATTCTAAAACTCGTAAAACAAAAACAGTTTTCGCAAAACGAGAAATAATTCTTTCCGCAGGAGTCATTAATTCACCGCAACTATTAATGATCTCCGGAATAGGACCCAGTGAAGAGCTCAAGAAACACAATATTCAAGTAATACAGAATCTCTCAGTTGGACACAATCTTCACGATCATGTGACATTCACAGGTGTTTCTACAACACTCAGGAAAAATATCTCATCAAATGTAAATTGCGAGAAAAGTACAGAAAATTTATTCGACTACTTCAAATCAAAAGATGGACCACTATCTCTAACTAGATATAAAATTGTCAATGGATTTGTCCGAACAGAATATGAGGAGACTGATGACGAAACACCAGATATACAATTGATTTTTAGAGAATTAAATGAAAATCAAGTACGCATTGCACCTGTATTATTGACACCAAAAAGTAGGGGATTCATTAAATTAAATGCGACAGATCCAGTGAGAGGTGCACCACTAATATACGCGGGATACTATTCACAAAAATTGGATAAAAAACGTATGATATCGGGAATTCGAATCGCTCTTCGATTACTCAATTCAACGGAGTTCAAGAAACGTAATTTTCAAATTGATCAGACATCACTGCCACCTTGTCAGGATAAAAGATTCAATTCCGACGAATATTGGGAATGTATTTTGGAAAATTTTCTTGATACTCTTAATCATTCGGTGGGTACGTGTAAAATGGGTCCAGAAGATGATAGCGAAGCTGTCGTTGATTCACGACTGCGAGTTTATGGAATTCAAGGCCTTCGTGTTATTGACGCTTCGATTATGCCGATTGTCACTAGAGGCAATACAAATGCACCGACGATTATGATTGCTGAGAAGGGCAGCGATATGATTAAAGAAGACTGGTCTCGGAAGAAAGGATAATTCCTGCAGGCGATAAAAATTTTTTTAATTTTATTGAAGTTAGCATTTAATTGCATTGTAACTAATATTTCATTAAATTGCATTTACAGCAATAAATTTAGAAAAATTTTATTTAATTTTTACTTTAATTTAATTACCCAGTAATTTAATTGCAGGGACATTTAGAAAATTTTAATTTAATTTTTACTTAATTTTAATTACCTGGTAATTTAATTATAAGGATCACAGTTAATTTCGTTTTGCCTAATCCTTTTTTCTCTTTTCCCCTTTTTTATTCCTTTAATCTCTTAATTTAAATTAGCAAAATTGTTTATTAATTTAAATTAGTGACTGACTTTTCACTTTGGAATTAGGAAATTTTACTAATAAATATGTAGAAATTCCTATTTATTAGTAAAATAGATTTACTAATTTAAAAGTAAATACTTCCTCTAGGAAGTAAAAGTTAAATTTTACTAAATTCAAAGTATATTTTACTAATTTTCAATAAAATTTACTACGGATATTATAAAATTTACTTTGTAAGTAGCGATTTTTAATAGCAAAATTTACTATTTTCAAAATTAATTTTTTTGTAAAAATCATTCAAATTTTTCTCCAACTTTACAATTAAATTCTTATTTTTAGAGTAAATTTTACTAGTTTTGTTAAGTAAATTTTGCTAATTTTTATTTTTAAAAAATTGTCTTTGAAAATAGTAAAAGTTATTCTGGAAATAATAATTTTGAATATTAAATTTTACTATTTTTGAAGTAAAGTTTTCCTAGTCCCAAGTTAATTTTATTAATTTTTTTTCTGAAATTTACTTTGTATATTGTAAAATTCATGAAATTTTAAAACAAAAGTAGCGTTTTAATAAAAATTTTGATTTAAAATTTATAGAAAATTACAAAATACGAAAAAGATTTATTTTTTAAAAAGTAACAAATAAAATATGACTTTTACTTCTAAGAAAAATTCAAATTGTTTAGAATTTTTAACAAATTGTATAATTATTTCCAGAATAAATTTTATTAAATTCAAAGTTGATTTTACTATAATTTTTAATAACATTTACTATATTATAAAATTTACTCTGGAAATAACGATTTTTAATTGACATTTTGACTATTTTCATTGTTCATTTTTTTTTTATAAAAGTTATTCTTTTCTTCGAACATTACATTTAGCTATTAAAAACTCTTATTTTTCGAATAAATTTTACTATTTTTGAAGTAAATTTTTTTTTAATTTTTATAAATAAACTTGTTCTTAAAAATAGTAGAAGTTATTTTGGAAACAACAATTTTTAATACTGAATTTCGATATTTTTTAAGGAAATTTTTTCAAGTCCCAAGTTAATTTTTACTAATTTTGTTCTGAAATTTACTTCGTATATAATAAAAATCATGGAATTTAAAAACAAAAGTAACGTTGTAATTAAAATTTTGATTGAAAATTTATAGAAAATTACAGACTATGGAAAAAGATAAAAAAAGATCAATAATTAACAGAAAAAGTTTAACAAAAAAATAATTTGATTTGAAAAAACTTTAGTTAAGGAGAAAAGTAAAAATATCATTAAAATAAATTTAGTCCGCTATAATAATATAATATTTATTTAATTTGAAAATTTCCTTTTTTGAAATTAAATCCCGGTTTTAAAAAATATGAAATCAACTTTTTATCTAATTTACATGAAAAAATCACAGTGATCCCTGTAATTATCTTGTAATTTATAATTATACAGAATTTTCACAAAAATTAGATTTTGCTTTACCCTGATTTCCAGACAGAATTTTGACTCCTCAAGACTTTAGATTTTCAAAAATTTCATACTTTTTGAAATTTAACTCTCTAAATATGAATTATTAAAAAGACGTCCACTAATTTAAATTATTATAAATTTCTACTAACTTTTAGTACTTTTCCAACTAAAAATATAATAAATAATTTAAATTACAAATTGTCTTAATAAAATTTTACCCAAAAAATTTGTTGGAAATTTTCACTTATTTTAATAAGTGGGGGACTTTTTACTGATTCAAATTTAGAGAGAGAATAGTTTACAAGAATTGCTACTGTGACTTTTCCAAAATTATTTTGAAGATTTTAATTGCTTTTTAGAATTTTTAACTAAAATTTAAATTGTTTAATTTAATTTAATGTAATTTTTTTACATTGTAATTTTATAACTCCAAAGTTCTGAACGTTCAATTAAACAAAATTTATTTATTTCTTCTTCAAATTCAATTTTTTATTACAAATAATTTTTCGACAATATCAAAAAATTAATTATATTATTTTTAAATGTAAAATTTAATTCTGTATTTTGTTTTTGCAATCAGCTATTTATAGAAATACTTTTAATAAAAATTATTTAGTTCATTTAAACGTTCAAAACTTGTGAATCATGTAATTTTAATTTAATTGTAACTTCAACTACATTATAATTTTAATTAAAATGTAATCTTAATTTAATTGTTTAATTGTTCTAAAATGTTTAATAACAGCCATCGTTGATTTTCTGGCTTTAATAATTGTCAGCACTCTTAATAAATCGAATAATAAAAATACGTTTCAATATTCAAAAGGAATTAATAGCGATAATAGCCTTAATTCCTTCAGCAATATTTGATTCAATTTTCCGAGAAATTGGAACTTTTTTTTCCATTATTTGTATATACTTAACCTAACAACATCAAAGTCTAGTAATATGCATGCGGTATTAAAAAAAAACCTCTAACCTTTTGCGGTTTACCTTGTGGAAGCGACAGCGGCAAAACCTCCTCTGGACCAATCTCTGGACAGCCACCAATCTATAATAAATTTTAAATATTAATTACAGTAATTATAATACAAAAATCTAGTTATAATACTAAAATAAAATAATAATACCAACATATAATTTAAATACTAAAATATTATTATAGTAGTTAAAAAAAAATATATACTAAAAAGTAAATTGATATAAAAAAAGCATTAACCTTTTGCGGATTTCCTTTGTGGAAGCGACAGTGGCAAAACATCCTTTGGATCAATCTCTGGAGAGCCACCATTCTGTAACATTTTAAAAATTAAATATTGTATAATAAGAAATATAGTATAATTACTAAGATAGTGTAAATAATAAAATATCTTTTGATTTTTACTTGAAAAAAGCTCTATATTCCTTTATGTTTTTTTTTATTAAAAAAAATAGAATTTTCTTTTATTTTAAAAATTAAATAAATGGAAAAATGGTTTTCAGAAAGAATGCGCGCCACAAAGAGTTAAAAAATAGAAACATTATATTCTAAAAGATATTCTCAGAAGAGGTGTTCATTAAACGTTCCATTTAACGTCATCTAACGCTAATGAAAGCTGTAATTAACTTTTGATGTTACCTCTCTTTCACAAAGATGTAAATTATACTTGTATATTATATAACTTTCAGTCTATCAGGTGTCTTCATTGAAGGGTAAAATATTCCTCACATTATAGAAACTCTGTATAAGTGTATACTCTGCGCTTCGTATTACAGTTTAAATATTCGAACGTAAAAACGTAAAAAAAAGTTTAAATAAACAAAACTTCAAATTAATAAATCTGATAATAAATCTAATAATTAATTTCTTAAATTTTTTATTATTATTTATACTGTTAGACAAAAAAAGCTCGTTAAAACTAAATAAATAAAAAACTTAAAAACTTCTTTAATTGCAAATTGATCCCTACTGCAATCAATCACTTTTCAATATTACAAGTTTGAAAATTTTTACAAGTTTTTAAATAAAATATGTGTAGCACATAGATATGAAAACTATCATAACTTTATAATAGCTCTTCAAAAAAAAAAATTTTTTTTTACCTCATACAAGTTTCTTTTCAGTTTTAATTAAATATGATAAGAGTGACAGTTCTCTTCCGATCGAAGTTTACTTTGCCTATAGAAGAAGCACGGAAGTGAGAAACTTTATCAAAAAAAAAAAAAAATAAGGAAAAAACCAGAAAAGTAAAAAAAACCAGGGGGGTGGAAAAATATAACAAGAAACAAGTGGTGAAGAAGAAAGTTGTGAAAAACTTGAACCAGAAAATAAACGACCATAAAGGCGATAGAAGCAACACGAAAATATATATACAGTTACATGAATTTGCTTCTTCAGTATACGTGTGACACGAGCGAGATGAAATAAATAAAATACTCAAAATGTTCCTTTAGATAGTCTTCAACACTTTATAAAAAAAGGGGGGAAAGAAAAATTTAAACCGGACAAATTGTATTAAATAAAAAATATAAAGTAAAAAAAAATTTTTCCTGTATAAAATATTATTCCTTTGAGAATAGAAAATATATGTAGAAAATAAATAGAAAATATGTATATGTGGATTTTGAAAACTATGAAAATAGAAAAAAAATATTCAAAAGGACAAATTCGTGTAAAATAGGAAAAATAAATTTTTCTGCATAAAATATTTTTCTTTTGAAAATATATTTTGTTTTAGGGATCACAGTGATTGCTTCATATATACATAATATTAGGTAAAAAAAGGGATTTTATTTTTCAAAAAGGTGAATTTTTAAATTCAGTAAAAATTATTGTATTATAGCGAACAAAATTTATTTTAAATATTTTTTTCCTTTCTTCTTAACTACACTTTTTTTTTAAATCAAACTATTTTTTAGTTAAACTTTCTCTGTTAATTATTTATTTATTTTTTTTTATTTTTTTCCGTAGTCTGTAATTTTCTATAATTTTTCAATCAAAATTTTTATTACAACGTTACTTTTGTTTTAAAAGTCCATGAAGTAAATTTTAGGAAAAAATTAGTAAAATTAATTAAGAGTTGGAAAAATTTCCTTTAAGAATAGTAAAATTCAATATTGAAAATTTTTATTTCCAGAATAACTTTTAATATTTTTAAAAACAATTTCCTTTTACAAAAATTAGCAAAATTTACTTCAAAAATAGCAAAATTTACTCTGAAAAGAAGAATTTTCAATAGCTAATTGTAATGTTCGAGGAAAATTTATTTATTTT